CTTTTGTTTTTTTTTGGAGGGTGAAGGCTTTGCTCTTCCAGGCTGGAGATGCAGTGGCCGATGTCAGCTCATCTGCACCTTCCTGCACGCTCCGCAGGTTCAGCAGCTTCCTGTTGCGGAAGCCTCCAAAGTAGGTGGGAATTACGGCCACACCACCAGGGCCTGGCTAATTTTTGTCTTTTGTGTAGTTGAGACAGAGTTTCACATGTTGGTAGGCTGGGTCTTAAACTCCTTTACCTTCAGGTGGATCCCATCCACCTTGGCCTCCCAAAGGCTGGGGTTCAGGCATGAGCACCGCACCTTGAGCCAGTCATATTTTTCGTTGTTTCGTTTGAGACCCAGTCCTCCGCTTGTTGCCCAGGACTGGAGCGCAGGTGCGCGATCTGCTGCTCCACTGCAAGCTCTGCCGCCCGCGGTTCATGCGCATTGTCCTCCTCAGGCCTCCAGAGATAAGCTGGGAGTACAGGGCACCACAACCACTGACCAGCTAATTTTTGTGATGATTTTTAGTAGAGACGGTGATTTACACCAGTGTTAACGCAGGATGGTCTTGATCACTGACTCATGATTACACGCCACCTCGGCCTCCCGAAGTGCTGGGAATTACAGTCCTGATGCCACGCGACTGGGTGGCCAGTACTTTCTTTTGACTCTCTCGGGCATCTTTTCATTTATGAATTTGACTTTGCGCCATCCTCCAGGTGCGAGAACTGGAAGCGACATGGCCTCACGCGTCTTGAGTCTACGGCCTCTTCCAGTGATCTAGCGAGTATATGGAAACTGAATTAGCAATATGACCCTGTATTTTGTGGCCTGATATTATCTCCTCTATATTGGCAGCACTCTCTGTTTCGGCACTTACTGAACAAGCCTCGGGTTGAAGGCAGGCAACGCCGTCTTGGTGATTGCCTTAGATGTGTGTAGGTTGGCTGGACCCAGGACTCACATAACGCTACTCTTGATCTGCAGGTCAAAACTTACTACGAAAGCTCGATGACCACAGGGAGCATAGTGTATTACATACCATACGATATCGAGACACGATTTCGCAGCTATTCCTCATCGGTCCCTAGTGCCTGGTTGTAGCTTCAATTGCCTACTGTTACCTTGAGGGACTTTGATGAGAATTTCGAAGACATAGAAATGTGAAAATGGCTATTCTGAAATGGGAATAGATATTATTTTTATGTGACTTATCTTGCTCTATTATCTTGCTGTTACCAGCATTGAAAAAATAATCAAACTGCGAATAATAATTTTTCCCTGGTTCTTGTCAGCATCCTTTATGCGACGGGGTGGGCCATACGGCGCTGGATTGTTGTAATCGTTTCTAATGTCCTCTCTTCAGGGATAGGTATACCATTCCCTACTTGACCTGAAAACCAAATTATTTACTGTCGTATGTTGTTCCAACCACTGAGCTGTGACCCAAGATGGTTCTATGGTTGATCTGCTCTCTCGTTAGCCGTGTAACGGCATGATGAACAAGATCCATAAGGAGAAGGCCACGGGTGGCTGTGCTGGATAAAGGGCTGCTTGCTTTTTAAAAGGCCATCAATACAGAAATATGGGGATGCAGAAGGAGCTGGCGGTTGTAACATTGGGAGACATCTATCTGCGACAGAACGCAACTGTCCATGAAATGCAGTGGGCATGTTGCCTAGCCAAGCGAATAGAGAGAAATGGGTGTAAGGCACGGGAGACACATCAAAACATTATTGTTTTAAGAAAGTTGAAAAAAATGTACAGTACTTTAAAACATAGAACGCGTTTTCCCCAAGGTTAGGAATTGATTTCACACATATTTCTATTTGCGTCAACATTGCATGAATTTCTCATGGACTAATTATGATTTTAACTTGACAATATTTAATGGGGAGTGCTCAAGTAGGTACGCATGCTGTTCTGGAGGCTCAAGTAATAACAACCTACTTTCAAATCGTAGCGGTGTGCCCCTTTCAAGTACGGAAAAGATGGCGCAAACCTTATTGCATGATACCTTTAAGTACTTTGTATTTAGCAAGTGTTTGTGATACATTACGCTCGATTATTAGCATAGCTTCGACTCAGAACTCAAACTCTCCTGCAGTCATTGTAACACTACACTTCTGAAAGCCAAAGTATTATCTGAGGCAAATGACTTCCTCTAGAAAGTCATGTTCAGCTCTTAGTAGCAAAAAAAAAAAAAAGACTATTCCAGAGCTTAGCTGAGGAGAAGCAGTACAGTCTCCTGCCTTAAGGAAACCGCTTCAGCTTTCTCAGCAGAAAGTGAAGGCTTAAAAGGGGACTTAGGGCCAGGCGCAGTGGCTCACACCTGTAACCCCAGCACTTTGGGGGGCCAAGGTGGGCAGATCACCTGAGGCCAGGAGTTCGAGACCAGCCTGGCCAACACTGCGAAACCCCATCTCTACTAAAAATACAAAACCACTAAAAATATAAAAATTAGTCGGGAGTGGCAGCGGGGGCCTGTAATCCCAGCAACTAGGGAGGCTGAGGCACCAAGAATAACTTGAACTCATGATGCAGTGGTTGCAGTGGGTGAAGATCGCATCATTGCACTCCAGCCTGGGTGGCAGAGGGACTCTGTCTCAAAAAAAGAGGGTGGGGGGGCGCAGGACTTGGTTGACCTAGATGGCATGTAAGGGGGTTGGTGGGGGGGGGTTGGAGGGGAAACCGAGGAGGTGCTAGGACTATGGGACTTGCTCCTATGTATCCATTGGTGATCTGGTTGGCACCATGGAGGCTGGGGCGAAGGCAGGGGTGGGGGGGAGGGGGACAGAGCTAGGTTGTAAATTGACAATTGTCCCCAGGCAATCCCCTGGTATGGGAAAGTTCCAGAGGTGCCTGGTTTAAGCTTCAGTCCTTGGAACTAATAAGCAAACACATTAGATAAGCTTACAGTGTAGAGAGTTGTGGTGCAGAGAAGGTGAAGGTTAATTGGATTCTTTTTTTTTTTTGAGACAGGTGTCACTCTGTCGCCCAGGGTGGAGTGCAGTGGCGCTATCGTGGCTCATTGCAGTCTTTACCTCCCAGGGCTCAGGTGATCCTCCCACCTCTGCCTCCCCAGTGGCTGGGACTACAGGCGCACGCTACCATGCCCGGCTACTTTTTAATATTTTTAGTAGAGACAGGGTTTCGCTATGTTGCCCAGACTGGTCTCAAACTCCAGTTCTCAAGCGATCCTGCCTGCCTTGGCCTCCCAAAGTGCTGGGATTACAGGCGTGAGCCACAGCGCCCACCCTATAATTGCATTCCTAAAGAGCTAAGTCGGAGGTGGGGGGAAACGAGAAAGGTAAAAATAGTTCATTTTTCTAAGAAAAATCTACTATCTACTAGGGCCTCTGCACATGTTCCCATCTGCACTGTGCTTCCCTCTCTTTTTCTATTTAACTATTTATCTTCCAGATCTCAGCTGCAGCTGCAGTTCCTCAGGATAACCTCCAACTTCTCGAAGATACTCACCATTATTGATTAGTGTGTTATACTAGGCAGGTAGTTCTACGAAGAGATCTGTATCTCTGTCTCACTGTATGCGCAGCGGGTAGCTCTGCACCTACGATCCTCAGTAAGAACAGTATTTATGAACTGAACGACCGAATGTTTAACCACTGCCCACTTACGCAAGAAGACTTCCGGAGGGACAAGTCTACAGACGCCGCGCGTCGTAACAACGTCACTTCCGCCGGAAGGTTCTCATGAGGAACCAGTCAGATTCCTGTCACTTCTCAAAGCATCTCCGTCGAAAACATGGCTCTGCCACCCTTTTTCGGCCAGGGTCGCCCAGGCCCACCGCCCCCGCAGCCGCCGCCTCCTGCTCCTTTCGGCTGTCCGCCACCGCCGCTGCCCTCCCCGGCTTTCCCGCCTCCTCTCCCCCAGCGGCCTGGCCCTTTTCCGGGGACCTCCGCCCCCTTCCTTCAGCCTCCGCTGGCTCTGCAGCCCCGAGCCTCCGCGGAAGCCTCCCGCGGCGGCGGCGGCGGCGGCGGCGCTGGCGCCTTCTACCCGGTGCCACCACCGCCGCTGCCTCCTCCGCCGCCCCAGTGCCGGCCCTTCCCGGGGACCGACGCCGGCGAGCGACCGCGGCCGCCGCCTCCCGGCCCGGGGCCGCCTTGGAGCTCGCGCTGGCCTGAGGCGGCGCCGCCGCCGCCGGCCGACGTGCTCGGGGATGCGGCCCTCCAGCGCCTGCGCGACCGGCAGTGGCTGGAGGCGGTGTTCGGGACCCCGCGGCGGGCGGGCTGTCCGGTGCCCCAGCGCACGCACGCTGGGCCCAGCCTTGGCGAAGTGCGAGCGCGATTGCGCGGGGCTCTGCGCCTGGTGCGACGGCTGCGCGACCTGAGCCAGGCCTTGCGCGAGGCCGAAGCCGACGGCGCGGCCTGGGCCTTGTTGTATACCCAGGCGGGGCCGCTGCGCGCGGAACTGGCCGAGCGGCTACAGCCGTTGACCCAGGCTGCCTATGTTGGCGAGGCGCGGAGGAGGCTGGAGAGGGTCCGGCGCCGCCGGCTGCGGCTTCGCGAGAGGGCCCGGGAACGCGAGGCCGAGCGGGAGGCAGAGGCCGCGCGGGCAGTGGAACGCGAGCAGGAGATTGACCGCTGGAGGGTGAAGTGTGTGCAGGAGGTGGAAGAGAAGAAGCGGGTGAGAGCAGCGGCCGCGCATGGGGGTAGGAGTGGTGGTGGTTGGAACCTGGAGCACCAGGAGGCTTTAAACTTCCATTTCCCAGGGTTAAGGCTGTGTCCTTACGCGCAAAATGAAGCGACAGCTAACCTTCCCACCTCATACCACCATGTTAGTTTTGTGTTAATGATGTACACAAAAGTTCAGGTGCACTGTAAAGTCCTGTAAACACAAAGTATAGGATTACACAGTGGCATTGCACGAATGACGGGTCTCCTCTATCCTGCTCCAACAGGTCCACTTACTTTCAAAACCAGTAGGTGTCTAGTTCCTTGTGTCTTGTGCTGCCCTAGGTGATTTTAAGAATACAAAATATAGGCCGGGCGCGGTGGCCCACGCCTGTAATCCCAGCACTTTGGGAGGCTGAGGCGGGTGGATCACGAGGTCAGGAGTTCAAGGCCAGCCTGGCCAAGATGGTGAAACCCCGTCTCAACTAAAAATATAAAAATTAGCCATGCCTGGTAGCGGGCGCCTGAAATCCCAGCTACTCGGGAGGCCGAGACAGGAGAATCGCTTGAACTCGGGAGGTGGAGATTGCAGTAAGCTGAGATCACACCACTGCACTCCAGCCTGGGCGACAGAGCAAGAGTGTCTCAAAAAAAATAAATAAAAAGAGAGCTTTGGGACCCTACCTCAAGGAATATATATATACTCTAATTAGCTGATGGGGCAATAGTGATTCCCCGAGGATTCCTTTGTTTATAAGTTTCAAACCACGTATCCCCAGGTTCAGCAATAGTGTTTCGGAGCATTTACTATATATGCTAGGAGCTGTGCTAAGGTCGTTACATATACCAGATCTTGAATCTTTATAACAGCCTTGAGAAGTAGGAAGTATTATGCTAATTTTACAGGTTAGGAAGTTGAGGCATAGAGGGGTTAACTTGCCAACGGTCACACAACCAGTTTGTGGCAGTTTCCCATATTTGATCCCAAGTTGTCTAATTCCAAAGCGTGTTGATCTCAGCCTCTTTAGGGCCAGGGTAAAACTGAAAATTGTTCAGATAGTCCTCTAAGGCATTTTCTTTTTTTAAATTTTTTCTTATTTTATTTTTTTGAGACGGAGTTTTGCTCTTGTTGCCCAGGCTGGAGTGCAATGGCACAATCTAGGCTCACCACAACCTCCACCTCCCGTGTTCAAGCGATTCTCCTGCTTCAGCCTCCTGAGTAGCTAGACTTACAGGCATGCGCCACTACACCCCAGCTAATTGTATATTTTTAGTAGAGACAGGGTTTCTCCATGTTGGTCAGACTGGTCTTGAACTCCTGACCTCAGGTGATCCACCTGCCTCTGCCTCCCAGAGAGTGCTGGGATTATAGGCATGAGCCACTGCAGCCAGCAGTCTAAGGCATTTTCATTACCTTTGAGTGCCTCTGGGTTTCCCTTCCCTCCTCCTCATTATTTCTATTATTATTACATTGTAATACATAATGAAATAATTATACAACTCACCATAATGTAGAAACAGTGGGAGCCCTGAGCTTGTTTTCCTGCAACTAGACAGTCACATCTGGGAGTGATAGGAGACAGTGACAGATCATCAGGCTTTAGATTCTCCATAAGGAGCCCACAATCTAGATCCCTCCCATGCGCAGTTCACTTTTTTGTGCTGCTATGAGCATCTAATGCTCTCGTTGCTGATCTGACAGGAGGCGGAGCTCAGGCGGTAATACAAGCAATGGGGAAGTGGCTGTAAATAGAGATGAAACTTCACTTGCTCACCTGCCTCATCTTTTGCTGTGGACTGGTTTCCATCCTTGACCTGGGGTTTGTTGACCCCTGGCTTAGAGATATGTGGGAGATCATGTCAGTATAGCGTGGTGTGTGTTAGGAATTCAACTGTAGGTGCTGTAAAAGCCCAAGAAAGGACATCTAATTTACTGAGGGAATGCTTCCCAAATGATGTAATGACACTAAGCTGAGTCTTTTTTTTTTTTTTTTTTTGAGACGGGGTCTCACTGTGTCACCCAGGCTGGAGTGCAGTGGCTGGATCTCAGCTCACTGCAAGCTCCGCCTCCCGGGTTCAAGTGATTCTCCTGCCTCAGCCTCCCGAGTAGCTGGGACAACAGGCGCCCACCACCTCGCCCGGCTAGTTTTTTGTATTTTTTAGTAGAGACGGGGTTTCACTGTGTTAGCCAGGATAGTCTCGATCTCCTGACCTCGTGATCCACCCGTCTCGGCCTCCCAAAGTGCTGGGATTACAGGCTTGAGCCACCGCGCCCGGCCTCTTTTTTTTTTTTTTGAGACAGAGTCTCGCACTGTTGCCTGGACTGGAGTGCAGTAGTGTGGTCTCAGCTTACTGCAATCTCCGCCTCCCAGGTTCAAGTGATTATCGTGCCTCAGCCTCCTGAGTAGCTGGGATTACAGGCGCACACCCACCACTCCTGGCTATAAGCTGAGTCTTAAAGGAAAAATCAACCAGGTGAAGGTAATAGATGCAGTTCCAGGGAAACAGAGTAATCCAAACAGAGAAGTGAAACAGCTTGGTGTTGGCTGTAGTGGTGGAATTACAGGCACATATTTGACAGATGGGGGAGAGCACTTTAGGCAGGAGGATTCTCTCCACCACCCACAGTGGGGATTTTTTATTTTATTTATTTTATTTTTTTAAAGAGACAGAGTTAGGGCCGGGCACGGTGGCTCACGCCTGTAATCCCAGCACTTTGGGAGGCCAAGGTGGATGGATCACCTGAGGTCAGGAGTTGGAGACGAGCCTGGCCAACATGGTGAAACCCTGTCTATACTAAAAATACAAAAAATTAGCCGGGTATGGTGGCGGGTGCCTGTAATCCTAGCTACTTGGGAGGCTGAGGCAGGGAATCGCTTGAACCCAGGAGGCAGAGGTTGCAGTGAGCCGAGATCGCGCCATTACACTCCAACCTGGACGACAGACAGACTCCATCTCAAAAAAAAAAAAAAAAGGGTTGGGGGGGGGTGCGGTGGCTCACGCCTATAATCCTAGCATTTTGGGAGGCTGAGGCAGGCAGATTACTTGAGCCCAGGAGTTCCAGACCAGCCTGGGCAAAATGGAGAAACCTCGTCTCTACAAAAAACAACAATTAACTGGGCATGGTGATGCTGTAATGACACTATTGCACTCCAGCCTGGGCAACAGAATGAGACCTGTCTCAAAAAAAATACAAAGTTTCACTCTGTTGCCCAGGCTGGAGTGCAGTAGGTTTGTCATAGCCTGTAGCTTTGAACTCCTGGTCTCAAAGTGATCCTCTCGCCTTAGCCTCCTGAGTAGGAATAGCTAGGGACACAAGTTATTATGCCCAGCTTCCATGATGAGGATGTTGGAGACAGAGTCTTAATGAGGAGTGGCTTGAGGAACTGGGGTTGTTTAGTCTGTATGTGAACTAAGTCAAGAGTAGGATAGCAATCTTTGATATTTGAAAAGCTGTCACGTGGAAGAGATTCCTAGGACTTCAGAGCAGTGGAGCACAAACATAGGTTGTCACTAAGAGACCTTTGTAGAGGTCTCAGCCTTTCCAGCCACATTCCTTATCCTCCCTGGGAATCTGAATCTTCAAGTCTAGGGAGTCTGCATTTTTAACAAGAGTCTAAGCTTAACAAGGTAAGTTGGACACCTGCTCCCTGCACTGCACTTTGAGAAACACTGAGGAAGAAACAAACCAGTGCTATGTGGAAGATACAGAGAGGAGAGGTTCCTCTTTAAGATGAAGGTTGTACCGTCAGTGGAGGGGGATAACCTCTTAGCTAGAGAGGAGTTGTGCAAGGCCTAGGAAATTGGGATGTAGATTCAGTAGAGTCTCTCTTAATCTGGAAACTGTCTGATCCTTTAAAATCTAACCACTGGGCAGCTATTCTCTGCTCTAAGTTTGTTCCTAATACGAGGTCTCATGGGCTTTGTTTCTCCTCCAGGAGCAGGAACTCAAAGCAGCCGCTGATGGCGTACTATCTGAAGTGAGGAAAAAACAAGCAGATACCAAAAGAATGGTGGACATTCTTCGGGCTTTGGAGAAATTGAGGAAATTGAGGAAAGAGGCTGCAGCAAGGAAAGGTAACTGTGACTTTGCATTTTGTTCCTTGTTCCCTTCCCCTTCTTTAGTGCCTCCCACCCCAAATATTATTGAGGGAAAAATACTTGAAACTTCATGATTTTCACCTTGTAGGGTAGCTGGGTTTGTCAGCAGTAAGTCATAACTTCTGAAGGAGGAAGCCTCAGAAGATGTTTAGCCTTTGGTAGCCCAGGTTGAAAAGAGAGGCAAGTGTGGGAACCCACTGCACTGTCTTCCTGTTGACTTATCATTCCTACCTCGGGCATTTCTGGCCACACTCTTCCTAGTGGGCTTGTCGTGGCTAGTCAGCTTTGCCTTGTGCCAAAGTGAAAGCTTTTCACCCTTACTGGGTGCTCCAGAAAGTGTTGAAAACTTGGCATGCTTCTTCAGATACATTTTAAATCTGAATTATTTCTAGTTGAAGAGGTATGAATGATTGGACAGGGCAGGGAATCCAGACTGTGTGGATTTCCCCACCTTCCCTGCATGTAACTGGTCTCTTCTTGCCTCTGGAGGAAGCACCAGACACTATAGCCAGGCAGTTCAAGCTTCTCCACAGAAATTTGTTCCAGTCATGCTGGCTTTCTAGAAGTTACCCAGTTGTGCTTTCCATTTGCCTGTCTGGATCTTAGCTGTTGTCATTCTGTTCATCTGGAGGGCCCTCAGTCCCATCTTCGCCATTTTAGGATCTCACTATTCAAAACCAAATACACGTGCAGCATCCTTCATCCTTCCCTGATCTGGACTGAAGTAACCTCCTGTTGCTTCTCACTTGCACCTGCTTTGGACCACATGCTGATTTATTTAGTAGATTGTAGGCCTTTGGTATTCACCAGAGGTATTTGAGAGTGTACAAATTAGCAAATGCCACTCTAACAAATGATTTCCCCTGTGTTGTTTAAAATATAAATGAAAACTGGGATTCTTTTAGACCCTTAAGAAAGTTGTGTTGAATATGACCATTTTGTATTCACTCAGGCTCATTTGCCAGCTAAGTGATTGGCTTCTGCATACCAGCCTTTAGAGTGGCTAATTCACATCCAGACCTCCATTGTTTGGAAACAGATGTCTCCATTGTGGTACTCTCAGGGCGCTTGTAAATCAGAGGGAAGTTAGCATCTGCTTTGTCTACTCATCTCTCTTTTTCACCAGAAAGCAAAACCTGAGAGCTATTTAATATTCCCTCACCTCCCATCCTCTATGAGGTGAGTGCTCAGTAAACTTCTGCCAAGTAATTTACCAGCATTTCCCAATATTAATCTTCCTCAGTTTGGTCCAAAAGCAGGAGGACATTTTAGGAAAATCATGATCTATAGAAACAGACTTCGTGGCTTTAACTGACTTGAGTGTAAAATGATTTGGTAAGCAGCAGCTGGTTGCATGCGTACTGAAAATGAGCAGCTAACTTCTCTCTTCAAGATGTGTGCACCTCCAACTAAGTGCTAAATGATGAGACTGGATGTTTAAGCAGGACCACGTTGTAAATTGTCTTATGGGCCATGCTAGAGTTCTCATTCACACTTAAAGCTGTGGGGAACCACTGAAAGTTTTTAAGTGAAATGATGGCAAAGATCAGTGCCAGTAGAGCAGAGAAAGTTTTGGAGCGTCCAGGAGAGAGAGAGAAGGGCAGAGAGACTGGTAAGGCTCTTGGGCATGGATAGTATGGAAGCATAAGCTGAGCGACGTCAGTGTAGGAGAATTGAGAGATAGTGAATAATTCAAGTGATAGTGAATAATTCAATAATTCACAATTATTAGTGAATAATTCTCAAGTCAAAGAATTGAGAGATAATGAATAAAGGTATACGTGTATATACCCATGTACGTATAAATAAATAACTTAGGGAACTCAGAGTACAGGAACTAAAGGGAAAAGAAATGACTTCCAGGTTCTAGCCTCACCTACTGAATAAGTGAAGATAGCTTTTTTTTTTTAAAGACAGGGTCTTGCACTGTCACCTAGGCTGAAGTGCAGTGATGCAGTCGTAATTCACTACAGCCTTATACTCCCAGGCACAAGCAATCCTCCCTCCTCAGCCTCCTGAGTAGTAGGGACTACAGGTGCACACCACCACACCTGGCTAATTTTTAAATTTTTTGTAGAGATAGGGTTTTGCCATGTTGCCCAAGCTGGTCTCGAACTCCTGGGCTCAAGCAATTCTCCCACTTGGCCTCCCAAAGTTGTAGATTACAGGTGTGAGCCACTGTGCCTGACCGATAGATACCATTCTAATGAAGAAGGAAAACAACGGAGGAGGAACAGGTTTGGGGTTGACAAGTTTAGTTGGGGACCTGTTGAGTTTGAGGTGTGTGTGGTACATCCTGGATAAGAGTTGATTAGCATGTAGCCATGAGTCAAAATGACCTTAAGGAGATTGTACAGTATGAGATGAGGGCCAAAAAGACAAAATCATAAGGAATGTCAAAATCAAGGTAGAAGATGAGGAGAGCAAAAAAGAGACTAAGAGAGGTCAGAGAGATGAGAGGAAAAGATAGGCTCCCTGCTTCCTTCTGGAAAGTGGCAAGTGCTTAGAGAGATTGTGTAGTCTTGGTGATATGGTTTGGCTGTGTCCCCACCCAAATCTCATCTTGAATTGTAGCTCCCATAATTCCCACATGTTGTGGGAGGGACCTGGTGTTAGGTAATTGAATCATGGGGACAGGTCACATGCTGTTCTTGTGATCATAAGTCTCATGAGATCTGATGGATTTATAAAGGAGAGTTCCCTTGCACACGCCCTCTTTGCCTGTCACCATGTAAGATACGACTTTGCTCCTCCTTCACCTTCCGCCATGGTTGTGAAGTCTCCCCAGCCATGTGGAACTGTGAGTGAACTAAACCTCTTTTATAAATTACCCAGTTTCAAGTATATCTTTATTGGCAGCGTGAGAATGGACTAATACACTTGGACAGGTTACTTGAACTTCTCTGAACCTTGGTTTCCTCATCTGCAAAAAGGGAGTAATGATATTACCTACCCATGGGGTGTTGTGAGGATTAAATTAATAAATATGTGAAAGGTACTTAAAACAGTCCTGGCACATAGTAAATGCTATATACGTGTTTCATATTATTATTGTTTTTATTATCAAGAAATAAGAAACATCCATGGGAATTAGTATCCAACTGGTCATTCGTGACCTATGCTAGGGGCATTTCAGTGGAGTGATGGGGCAGAAGCCAGACTACTACAATAGGTTAGAGAATGAATATGATACAAGAAAAGCAAACAGAGAATTAAACTTATTAAAAGATAGCCTGTGAAGAAAAGGAAAGAGCAAGATCAGTATCTGGCATATGTGTGGTAGTGGTGATGGTGAGGGGTGTTGTGTGTCTTCGGGTCATGGGAGAAACTTAAGCATTTTAAAAACTACTGAGAGGAGTAAGTAGAAGGGGAAGGGTCAGAGAGAAGCAGGAAGAATAGTTGATGGCTCAAGCCTCTATGGAAGGTAGGATGATTCACATCCCAGGTGGAGAGATTAACTTAAGTGAACAAGGAACCATCTTACACAAGCATGAAAATGAAGGAGATGAAGATGGGTAGTGATGCAGATGAGTGCAAGCAGGGACAGATTTGAGGGGTTTCCTGCCTGCTGGCTTTTCTCTGGGTAAATGGTTTGCTGAGCGCCAGTAGAGAAGTGGGGCTTTAGGAGAGCATTGAAGGTTTGAAATAACTGCTGTGAAGAATGGGTGACAGCTAACCAGAGACTTGTGGAAGATGGTTGCAGGGGGTGCTGTGGGTCCAGCTGACATATATTGGCAATGGATCACACAATCAAATGACCTCTTCCAGTAGTACTGTAGCTGGCGGGTGAGCACAGAGCATGGGGTTGTTGGGGTTTTGCTTTGTGGGATGACCATGAGTTTTGTGGCAAAGGAGTAGCAGAAGGATAGAATCTGATACATCAGGTCTGGAGGTTTTGATGAAGCTGCCAAATGGGTCTCTGGGGAGAAGGAACTAAAAGTACTATAAGGGAGAAAGTTGTAGTGGGAGAAGAGAATAATCAAGTTTAGGACTGAAGAAGCAAAAAGTTTTTTCTGATAATGCCAAGGTCCAAAGACTGAACAAGATTGCAAGCATGTGACTAAAGGGGAATAGAGGCAAAGGCATTCGTGTCTAGGAGCTGCAGGACTAGGAGGGCAGTGAGTGGTAGAAGTGGAGGGAACCTAGAAGGTTCCAGGAGGAAGACTGTGTGAGGAGCGCTATTCCTTTTTCTTTTTCTTTCTTTCTTTCTTTTTTTTTTTTTGAGACGGAGTTTCACTCTTGTTGCCCCGGTTAGAGTGCAGTGGTGGAGTCTCGGCTCACTGCAACCTCCGCCTCCCGGGTTCAAGCAGTTCTCCTGCCTCAGCCTCCGGAGTAGCTGAGATTACAGGCATGTGCCACCACACCCAGCTAATTTTTGTATTTTTTTAGTAGAGATGGGGTTTCACCGTGTTGGTCAGGCTGGTCTCGAACTCCTGACCTCAGGTAATCCACCCACCTTGGCCTCCCAAAGTGCTGGGATTACAGGTGTGAGCCATCACTCCCTGCCCAGGAGTGCCGTTTCTGAGGGAATATGTTACGTTGACCAGGGAGTGATCAATGAGGGGCTGAGAGAGATGTGAGTTAGTGGCCCGGGCTTAGCAGCCCACATCTCTTCATGAGGTCTTTAGGCTAATATAGGATGATGGAGTATCTGTGTATTTGGCCATACACAGATTTTAGTAGTTGCAACAGAGACTGTGTGGCTTACAGAATCTAAAGTATTTACTACCTGTAAAGGTAAAGAAATGAAACAAAACCATTAGATTATTGCAAAACAGAGTGACAGTTTAAATTTGTCAGCGTATAAGAATTTTGTGTATACTTGAAAAACATTCGCCTGGCAACTTAGAAGATAAATTTGAGTTGTAGTGTTTCTGTAGTTGAGAATGAGTGAATGGAAACCTGTTGAAACAAAGCAGTTAGGAGAAAATCATCTAGAGAAATGTTAGCCTTGAGAGTGAGTTCCACAACCACTTAGCTGTAGTGGTCGAAGGAGGAAAGAATGCTACCTCCAAATTACAACTTTACAAGAAACAGAACTACTAACCTTGAGAAACCATTATTTTATGCCATTTATCAGCCCAAACTGAAGATTTAGTGCTCAAAGCTGGCACTATTGTTTAACACAAGTTGCAGCATAAATTGTTAAAACCCTGTTGAAGGGCCAGGCATGGTGGCTCTTGCCTGTAATCCCAGCACTTTGGGAGGCCGAGGCGGGAGGATCATGAGGTCAAGAGATCGAGACTATCCTGGCCAACATGGTGAAACCCTGTGTCTACTAAAAATACAAAAATTAGTTGGGCATGGTGGCACATGCCTGTAATCCCAGCTACTTGGGAGGCTGAGGCAGAATCACTTGAACCCAGGAGTCAGAGGTTGCCGTGAGGCGAGATCACACCACTGCACTCCGGTCTGGTGACAGAGCGAGACTCCGTCTCAAAACAAAACAAACAAAAAAACCTTGTTGAAAATCATTCATTCGTTGAAGAAATCTCTATTAATTATCTTCTCTGTGTCAATTGTTAGGTAACTGAACAAATGTGTGGCTTTTTTAGGAAGCAGTTTAGAACACATTTTGTTAGTCTTGAAAGTAAGTATTCACAAACATTTCCACTCTTGAGAATTTTTCTTTTCTTTTCTTTTTTTTTTGAGATGGAGTTTTGCTCTTGTTGCCCAGGCTGGAATGCCATGGCATGATCTCGGCTCACTGCAACCTCTGACTCCTGGTTTCAAGCAATTCTCCTGTCTCAGCCTCCTGAATAGCTGGGATTACAGGCACCCGCCACCACGCCTGGCTAATTTTTGTATTTTTAGTCGAGACAGGGTTTCACCATGTTGGCCAGGCTGGTCTCAAACTCCTGACCTTGTGATCCACCCGGCTCTGCCTCCCAAAGTGTTGGGATTACAGGCATGAGCCACCATGCCCGGCCAAGGATTTTTCTTAGAGAAATCCATAGAAAGGAAAAAAGTAACATGCCCAAGAATATGCATTGTATCACTATGGAACAGGACATTTGGAATAACTTTTAGGTGTTCAGGAGTAGGGAACTTGATAAGTATATTCTAGTGCATTGATTTGATGAAATAGGATACAGCACCATTAAATAATTACGAAAGATGGATAAAGAATGTACAGAATCAACAGGGAGAAGTGATAATCTACATACCGTATATACGCTAGAACTATATGAAGTTGCTAATATATGGGACAAAAAGACCTGAAGAGAACGTGGAAAGTATTAAAATGGCTTGATTATGGTAATGGGATTAGGGTTTTTTTTTTCTTTTGCTTGTATCTGCATTCTTTTTTTTTTTTTTTTTTGAGATAAGAGTCTTGTCTATCACCCGAGCCAGAGGTGCAGGGCATGTGTCTTGGCTCACTGCAGCCTTCCCACCTCCTGGTTTCAGGCGATACTGTCTGGTTAGCCTCCTGAGTTCTAGCTTGGAAGCTACAGCCATGCACACCACCATGGCCTGGCTAATTTTTGTTGTGATTATTCTTTACGTCGGATATGGGGGTTTCACCCATGGTGTTTGGTCTAGGCTGGTCTCGAACTCCTGAGCTCAGGCAATCCGCTTGCCTCAGTCTCCCAAAGTGCTAGGTTTACAGGTATGAGCCACCACACCTGGCCCTGTATCTGGTATTGCTAAAATGCATGGGTAATGTATTTTCCTTTAAAATCTTCAAGGACTGACAGGATAGATCACACCCACATCACCCTACATTGATTCACCTAGCAGCTTTTGTATTGTAGGGAAATTATGGTAGTGAGTACAGAATTGCAGTCCACTCAAGTATTCATTAAGTTAAAATCTTTTTTTCTTATGAAACTTTATGAAAAATTTATCACATGTACAAAAATAGAATACATACTCATCATCATCTATGATACCATTGTCACACCAAAAAAATTAGCAATAATTCTTTGATATCACCTAATAACCAGACTATTTTCCCAGCTGTGGCTTTAGATACGTTGGCTATACTGTTAGCTGATCTCATAGTTAAATCAGGATAATAACCATCCCAGTTTTAATGGGACATGGGGCTTCCAGTGCTACATGCGGGCAAACCAAAACAGTTGGTCAGCCTACTGTCAGCAGCAGACTGCAAGGTCAGTGTGGTTGGTTAAGTGTATCTTCCTCCTTATCAAAGTGTGCACTCCCAAAATTCACACTCAGAGTGATGCTGAGGGAATTTCACAAACAATGAAGTTAAGACAAGTTCCTCCCTTTAGTGAGCTCACTGTTTCAATTGGAGGATCAAGACTATCAGAAATAAACAAAGTGGAGGCCAGGTATGGTGGCTCATGCCTTTAATCCTAGCACTTTGGGAGGCCGAGGCGGCCGGATCACCTGAGGTCGGGAGTTTGAGACCAGCCTGACCAACATGGAGAAACCCTGTCTCTACTAAAAATACAAAAATTAACTAGGTGTGGTGGCACATGCCTGTAATCCCAGCTACTCGGGAGGCTGAGGCAGGAGAATTGTTTGAACCCAGGAGGCGGAGGTTGCGGTGAGCTGAGATGCGCCATTGCACTCCAGTCTGGGCAACAAGAGTGAAACTCAGTCTCAAAAAAAAAAGGAAAAGAAATAAAATCAGAGATTAAGTGGTGTGATCCAGAGGGAGGAGTTGAGAAAGTCAGGGTAGGGTCAGAGTAATTGAATACTCAAAAACATCAAATTGAGCCTTAAAGATTGGATTTCCAAATTTTAATCGATACATACTGTAGGTAGGACTTTGAACCTGCTCATTATAACACAGATTTTGTGATAAGAAAAAGTGTGTAAAAGGCCATTTGGGCTGGATGCAGTGGCTCACTTTGGGAAGCCAAGCTGGTAGATTGCTTGTGGCCAGGAGTTGGAGATTAGCCTGGGCAACATAGCAAGACCTCATACAAAACTAACTTTTTTTTTTTTTTGGGAGATAAAGTCTCATTCTGTCACCCAGGTTGGAGTGCAGTGGTGCAATCTCTGCTCACTGCAAGCTCCACCTCCTTCTGCGTTCACACCATTCTCCTGCCTCAGCCTCCCGAGTAGCTGGGACTACAGGTACCCGCCACCATGCCTGGCTAATTTTTTGTATTTTTAGTAGAGACAGGGTTTCATCGTGTTAGCCAGGATGGTCTCGATCTCCTGACCTTGTGAGACCTCATACAAAAACTTTACAAATTAGTAGGTAGGGCCAGGCACAGTGGCTCATGCCTGTAATCCCAGCACTGTGGGAGGCCAAGGCAGGAGGATTGCTTGACCAGGAAGTTTAAGACCAGCTTGAGAAACATAGGGAGACCCTGTCTCTACAAAGATAAAAATAAATTGGCTAGATGTGGTGGCACATGCCTGTAGTCCCAGCTACTTGGGAGGCTGAGGTGGGAAGATCTCTTGGTCCCAGGAGGTCGAGGCTGCAGTGAGTCATGATCATGCTACTGCACTCCAGCCTGGGCAACAGAGTGAGACCCTGTCTCAAAAAAAAAAAAAAAAAAAGAAAAAGCCATGCATGGTGGTGCACACCTGTAGTTGTAGCTACTTGGGAAGCCAAGGTGGGAGGATTGCTTGAGCCCAGGAGTTTGAAGTTGCAGTGAGCTATGATCACACCACTTGTACTCCAGCCTAGGTGATAGAGTGAGGCCTGGTCTCAATAAATAAATAAATAAAATGCCAATTTGTTCTTTCTGCCCAGGGGTTTGTCCTCCAGCCTCAGCAGATGAGACTTTTGAGCACCATCTTCAGCGACTGAGAAAACTCATTAAAAAGCGCTCTGAACTATATGAAGCTGAAGAGAGAGCCCTCAGAGTTATGCTGGAAGGAGAACAAGAGGAAGAGAGGAAAAGAGAATTAGAAAAGAAACAAAGAAAAGAAAAAGAGAAAATTTTACTTCAGAAACGTGAAATTGAGTCCAAGTTGTTTGGGGATCCAGGTATGTTGCTCTATAACCAGTGGAGAAAATGAAAATACTAGATTGACAGCTCTTCTTATCATGGGTGAACTCAAGCTAAGAGGTAGTAGGCAGCAAATGATACCTTCCAGATTTGCAATTCTATGTCATAGAACTCATGGATATAGATAAACACATTTGCTCATTCTGTCATAATCATAGGCTCAGTCACCTTGCCTTGAGAAATACATTGTGGATATCAAGCATGATAACATGGTATTGTGCTTTTCTCTTTCAGACGAGTTCCCACTTGCTCACCTCTTGGAGCCTTTCCGACAATATTACCTCCAAGCTGAGCACTCCCTACCAGCGCTCATCCAGATCAGGTCAGAGGGGCAGGCTCTCCATGTTGTCTTTCCCTTAGGTAGCAAGAAGCACTTGAAGAAGTGCTTACATTGTTCAGGTTTATTACTGTCTTTTTTTTAAGTTCCATAGGGAACTTAAAAAAAAATTATGGGTTTATAATGTTTCCATATTCAAGGATGCTGCATACATGTTGTTTAGTCCTCATTAATCCTTGAGAAGTTGATGTCCCTATTTTTATAGGTGAAGAAACAAACTCAGGTTGTGACTTGCTGTATTATCTCATGTTATAGATATTATAGCTGTTACATTGATTTAAAGCATTGGTTTCCTTTTCCAAATTATCTTCAGGTGCTAACCAGACCCAGGAAAAAGAAACCCTCCACTATGTACTTGCCTGTGGAGACGGTTTAAGACCCATGCTGACTTCTGAGCTTTTACAGGTCAAAGCCCAGAAACTTGGGAACAAGGAGGCACATCTGAATCTGCAGTTCTTAAGGAGCTAGGCAGAGTTTTCAGCTCTCTGGGTCTCCCTTTCCTCACCTATAAAATGAAGACAGTGGACTAGACTGTGGACTTCAAACTTGAGCAGAAGCACTCTTCCAAAATGCAGTCTTTGAGGAAACACTATGTAAGATAAATGGAATGAATGGGTTCCCAAGGCAGTATAAATCTGTTGTTGCCTAGAAGCACTTTGTTGTTTCTAGAGTCCCATAAACATTTGCTTGGGGCCTAGGGGTTTTCAAAGTGTGATTTGAAAATCACTGAACTAAGTGATCTCAGATGTCCCTTCTAAAACCTCAGCTGTTTGTGATTCTCATGAAAGAATGCTCTTTAGCATATCAAGTTTATGTTCTAGGAAAAGTTTATTTTTTGCTAATATACAAGTTTTAGCTTTTAAACATAAGTACAGTTGATTCTCATTTTTCATGACAGCTATATTCTCTAAAGTCACTGCAAACACTGATTTCAGAATACTGAACATCACTCCTAATGGAAACACAGGGTTAGGTAGATTCCTGGGAGCCTCTGGTCACAATGTTTTTGTCAGCTGATGAATACCTTGTTGTATGTGTGTTTGTGTTAAAGACACCTTATTTAATATATGTTGTTGATTTACTAACATTGAACTCACGACTAATAGTACTCTACCTCATGCCTAAATGAAGCTTACCTAACACACTTTCTCCACAAAGCACATCACAGCCTTCTTGCCGTTAGGAACACTACACTTAGGGCCATTTTAAACAGTAAAGTCGTCAGTAAAAAGCGCAAAAATATGGAAAATGTGGCACTAAATAGAGAAAAGAACCCATTTATATTAATAGTATGCGCTGAAAACAAGAAGGCAGAGTAAGTATTGCCTTCTTTGATCTCAGCTGGGAACAGTTCATTTTCATGACTTAGATTTTTTTGCCACTCTGTGTGTCTACGAGTATCCATGAAAGAGCTACAAGTGATGATTTGGGGGCTACAAATAAATTTTAGTTAGTAGGCACATATGCAAATACAGAATCTGTAAATAATGAGGATTGACTTTATTATTAGGTTATCCATAAGGCTATAAGTTCTTCAGAGTTTTTTCTCCTTTTATGTGTACATTTAAGAAATGTAGTCATTTTCTTGATTCCTAGAAATCAAGTTCTGTAATAGGTTAGTATATCAGTCATTTGAAAGCTAAGTCTTAGAATATGTAGTTGCTGAACATCTTATTTGAAATAAAACAGAAATAAATAGTTGTTCTATAATGTTCTTATTAAGGCATGATTGGGATCAGTACCTGGTGCCATCCGATCATCCCAAAGGCAACTTCGTTCCCCAAGGATGGGTCCTTCCCCCGCTCCCCAGCAACGACATCTGGGCAACTGCTGTTAAGCTGCATTAGTAAGGATGCTCCAGGAGTGTGGTCCAGCCAACGCTCTTTCCAGCTCTAAATATTAGCGATGGTGCCATCTTTTGCTGTAGACTAAACTGCAACTTCTGAATTCCATGTGGCATTCCCCTACCCTGAAGTTACGCTTTCCTTCTGTGCTCTGTGCTGGCCAGAGGTGCCTCTTAAATCAGATTAATGTGGTTCTTCAAGAAAGGACTTAGGTGAACTGAGGTTTTTACCACAGGCAGTGAATGACCTGGGTTCACCAAATTTGCCTCTGTTTTGAGGGGCTTGGTCCAGAGTGACTAATTTACTGTAACTTCCTTGTGTGTTGAAGGGTAAGTACACTCAAACACTGAATACAGGTGTGCAATGGGTAGATTTCACAGCCCTTCCACTAATAGTGAGTGTGAAGGCAAGCTTGTTGCAAAACCTCCTGACCTTTCCTACCTGAAGAGCCCTTTGACTTCTAGGAAGAAAGGTCAAAAACATGTTACTTCTAGGAAGAAAGGTCAAAAACATGTTATCTTCAGTTTTGTTAATCCCAGTTTTGGTGCAGCTTGGGAGGCTGCTAATTAGGAAGATGGCAGTGACTGTAGGCTGGGTTGCCAGAAAATATGGTGGCCTAGTCTTATTATTCAGGTGGGGTACTTAGAAAACCTGAAGAGTACCCAAATTGGATTGTGTTTTAATGGACAATGGCTGCATTTTTTCCATGTTAGAAGGATCCTAATGAAAGCACCTGTTATTTTTAAGTTTCTAAGGGTCTAGTTGTTCAGAATCCCCAAGGATATTTCCCTAACCTCACTCAGTTACATTGTAGGAGCCAGTGTAGCTGTGGAATTATCTTAGGAACTCAAGCTTCTAAAACTATCCATGTAGTCAAATCTGGGGGAAAAGCAAATACAAATAATAAAATATATTTTTTATATTCATTAATAAATGCTGTTGTGCTTGGAGATGATCACTCATATAACGTGTCATTTTTTTTGGTTCTGTTTTGATTTAGTTTTTGCCAATTATTTTGTTATATTTCCAAAAAACTAAATAAAAATCATTTTATTTTTTAGTTTGTGCCTTTGCTGCCAATTTGTTGCCTTCCAAATCACTTAGCACACACTTTCACATTGATGAAACGTGTTTTCATTCAAAAATTCAAATTTATTAAGCAGGCATTTGTTACAGGAATGTGAATCTTAAACGTCAAACTTTATCTGCAAAATCCACGTCTGGATTGGTAAAGATACCGTCAATTTTGGAAATAATGTTAATGTACTGTAGTTGGAAGCTTTTGGGTGCGAGATACTAATGCCTTTGTCCCTTTTCTGTTGTTTAATTTGCATTAATTTATACATTATATAGAGTTAACAGAAAGGGAATGAGAGCCACATGTCTCCAAAATGTATGTCTACGTTTATAAATCCTAAAATCTGATATGATTACCCTCGTAGAACTCCACAATCCTGTGTGCCTTTTTGTTAGATATCTCCACCATTTGCTCTCTGATGAGATGCAGGAAGAGTAGAAATAAGGTGAATTGTACAATGTGTGTTTGGTGTCTGGACAGCCTTGCCACTAAGACATCTGCTGTGAGGGCAGGGAATGTGCTACAGGGACTCAGGAAAACTCAGGCAGCAGAACCCAAGAAGGTGGCATTTAGCCACAGATGGAGAAAAAAAAAATCCCTTTTCCTTTTGGCCCTTGCAAGGTTTTAATAGAGTGAGCAGGCCGGGTGTGGTGACTCACACCTGTAATCCCAGCACTTTGGGAGGCCGAGGCAGGTGGATCACCTGAGGTCGGGAGTTGAAGACCTGCCTGGCCAACATGGTGAAATCCCATCTCTACTAAAAATACAAAAATTAGCCAAGCATGATGGCAGGCGCCTGTAATCCCAGCTACTTGGGAGGCTGAGGCAGGAGAACCACTTGAAGCCAGGAGGCGGAGGTTGCAGTGAGCCGAGATCGCACCATTGTACTCCAGCCTGGGCAACAGAGCGAGACTCTGTCTCAAAACAAAATTAAAAAAAAAAGTTGTTTGGTATTTATTTGTAAGATTTTCCTGGTTTATTACCTGTGTAGTGGTGGTAGCAGCAGTCACTGGTTGTTTCAGGTTTAGAGAGACTCATGGTAGTGTCTTTTTTTTTTTTTGAAAGGAGTCTTGCTCTGTCGCCCAGGCTGGAGTGCAGTGGCCGGATCTTGGCTCACTGCAAGCTCCGCCTCCCGGGTTTACGCCATTCTTCTGCCTCAGCCTCCCAAGTAGCTGGGACTACAGACGCCCGCCACCTCGCCCGGCTATTTTTTTTGTATTTTTTACTAGAAACGGGGTTTCACCGGGTTAGCCAGGATGGTCTTGATCTCCTGACCTCGTGATCCGCCCGTCTCGGCCTCCCAAAGTGCTGGGATTACAGGCTTGAGCCACCGCGCCCGGCCGGTAGTGTCTTTAATGAACTGTACTTTCAAGAATATGAGCAGTGTTACTGTAATCTTATCCCACAGTCTTTTTTTTTTTTTTTTTTTTACTTGGGAAAATTTCAAATACATTAAAAAATAAAGAGAATAGTACAATGATTTTTTTCCATGTACCCATCATCCAGCTTCAAGTCATTATCAGCTCATGGCCAATCTTGTTTCATCTGTGCATCCTCCACTCACCCTGGATTATTTTGGAGCCAATCTCAGGCATCAAGTTACGTCATCCGTAAATATTTCATTATGTAGCTTTAAGCGATTTAAAAAAAAATCTAACCACAGGACCATTATCACATCTAAATAAATGAATAACAACTCCTTAATATCACAAACATCCAGACATTGTTCAAGTTGCCCTCTCATAAATGTTTTTTACATTTTGTTCAAATTAGAATCTAAATAGAATCCATACACTGTTGTTTGCAACCTTGTGATGCTGTGTCCCTCTGTTCTCGTATATACTGTAATTTAGTAGTTAAACAGAGCTGTACTGTCCAATATAGTAGCCACATTCAGCTATTGAGCACTTGAAATGATCTATTTGAGTTGAGATGTGCAATTACATATGTGGATCACATGTTTCAATTGGATAGTGCTGATCTAGAGGCTTGATCACATTTAGATTGGAATTTTCTGGCAGGAATACTTCACAGACATGATGTGTACTTCCAGTCAGGAGGCACTAATGTCTTGGCTTTTTTTGTGATGTTAGCGGCCACTGATAAGAGCTACATTCATTCATTGATGGGGAGGGGAGTCAAAAATAGTGGTAGTTTAAGTCTGTTATTCTTCAATTACTAACTGGAATACTTTTTAAAAAAGAAAAACTGTACGAAAGCATTTGTTTTTAATAAATTCGGTAAATACAGAGAAGATTAGAAAGCTATGAGAGAAAGAGATTAGTTCTTAAATACTAAGGGTATTTAGCCCAAGTGGCTGAGTTTATGATGTCAAAGAATTTGCTTCTACAAGCCAACCAACTTAATCACCCTAAAACCATTCATGCTTCTATGCCCATGTGACATTTGTAACAAGAAGCTTAGGCTTATACCATCTGTTGTAGCTATTTACTTACACATGCTTTGTCTGCAGGGAAGCTCTCCTGGATTTTACAAGGTAAGTACAAAGTATATCTTATTCCATTTAAATAAGTATAATATGCAATATATGAAAGGAATGTGAACGCTCTGAAATAGTAGTGATTTATGGAATAGTGATTAAATGAGACATTATCAACTAAATTTGTTTTTTGCCACCTATTTGTCCCACATTTTTTTTTAATGTTTAGAACCTATAAGCTATTCCCGGATGATGAGTCGTTTACCTTTTTGTGAATCCACAGAGTAGTTCCTGGCTTGCCGTTTCTGGGCCACACATGAAGAGTATGTTTCCATGGCAGAGTTCATTTGCCTTTTGGAGTAAATTTGGTTTTTCATAGCCTCCAAAGCAAAGATTAAGGTCTCTGAGGCAAGTGGTGTTAGAGTGCATAACTGTGTAGAACAGTGGACACTTTCCTCAGCTTTGTTAATTCATGCTGGCCACAGTCTGGATACCAGGATTTATGTTCTTTGGGAAATGATTTTTTATTTACCATTTTCCAGTTACTGTGGTTAGGTGCTAGGGATGTAAGAAGGGGTGAACAGACAGGATTCCTGACCTCCTGGAGTTTAGAGTGAAGAAGCTTAATGATTATAACAGAGTCATTAGAGACAATTGTGATAAGTGCTACAAGGAAAAGTACTTATCAACCAATTTATATATTTCATTCCAAATGTTTAAGTGCCTATTAAAGCTAACCAAAATACCAAATACTTCCTAACCTCATACAGAATACAGGCAATCAGGAAGGTAGATACTAACCCAATATTCATAAAAAATATGCTGAGTGCTTTGAAAGACATGGTTCTGAGATTATGAATTAGGATTTTTCTTCAAAAGCGTTCTATGACACATTTAGTTGAAATAATAGAAAATATGTGTCATATAGTAAGGGTAAGAGTCATTATTCAGTTTACATATATGTATGCTAGGAAATAAAAGTATACCATGAGTCACAGTAAAAAAAAAAAAAAAAAAGGACCAGGCACGGTGGCTCACGCCTGTAATCCCAGCACTTTGGGAGGCCGAGGTGGGCAGATCACAAGGTCAGGAAATGGAGACCATCCTGGTGAACACGATGAAACCCTGTCTCTACTAAAAATACAAAAAATTAGCCAGGCGTGGTAGCGGGCACCTGTAGTCCCAGCTACTCGGGAGGATGAGGCAGGAGAATGGCGTGAACCCAGGAGGCGGAGCTTGCAGTGAGCCGAGATCCCGCCACTGTACTCCAACCTGGGTGACAGAGCGAGACTCCACCTCAAAAAAAAAAAAAAAAAGAAGATGTGTTCCCCAAATCCTCAAACTCTTAAAGTATCCTAGAAGCAAGTGTAGGGCTGAGTAGAAAATACCTATTAGGATGCAGATGCTGGGCAGAAGATGGAGAGAAGGGTGCCTTATACCTGCTAAGTGGACAGACAGTCTCAATAGAACTGTGCCCCTTCCCCGGAGATAGCTCAAAATTCAGATGATACCTGAAAATGTGAATAATAAATCTGAGAATGCCAAAACTTGCTGAACTTTCCTGTGTCTCCTATAACCTACTTGTACCTCAGAGGTCCCCTGTAAGAACTGACTGATAGGGCAGATAATTTACTGGTTACAGTGGGACTTGCCTGATTCTGTATCACTAAGGCAGCATAGAGAGCCACCTCCTGCTGTGCAGGGAGACCAGCTCTAGGCATGAAGTGGAGAAACCTTTTGAGTCTTATATATAGCAAGACACTGACAAGAGTTGACAGATGGGGCAGGAGATGAGGGAATTAAGGGATTTGCCCACTTGCCTTCATTTGACCTCTCTGCAGTCAGATTACCCGTCCTAACTCTCCACATGATGCTCTCATGGGAAGGGGATGACTGTAGTGACCCCTAGCAGGGCAGAGCTTTTGCGTCATCCTGGGAAGGATGACAGATGGTGTTGAGCCAGAGGCACTCCCTACTGCAGACTCCCTGATAATCCCTGATTGTTTGCAAAAAGGCAGACTGCGGTCAAGGAGTCTAGATTCAAGTGTATATTATAGGCAGTCGTGAGCTTAAATTCTGTGTGAATGAGTTTGGTTTTTTTTTTTTTTTTTTTTTTTTTCAGAGTCTCACTCTGTCGCCCAGGCTGGAGTGCAGTGGTGCCATCTTGGCTCACCTCAACCTCTACCTCCTGGGTTCAAGCGATTCTCCTGCCGCAGCCTCCTAAAAAAAAAAAAAAAAGAAGATGTGTTCCCCAAATCCTCAAACTTTTAAAGTATCCTAGAAGCAAGTGTAGGGCTGAGTAGAAAATACCTATTAGGATGCAGATGCTGGGCAGAAGATGGAGAGAAGGGTGCCTTATACCTGCTAAGTGGACAGACAGTCTCAATAGAACTGTGCCCCTTCCCCGGAGATAGCTCAAAATTCAGATGATACCTGAAAATGTGAATAATAAATCTGAGAATGCCAAAACTTGCTGAACTTTCCTGTGTCTCCTATAACCTACTTGTACCTCAGAGGTCCCCTGTAAGAACTGACTGATAGGGCAGATAATTTACTGGTTACAGTGGGACTTGCCTGATTCTGTATCACTAAGGCAGCATAGAGAGCCACCTCCTGCTGTGCAGGGAGACCAGCTCTAGGCATG